ACACACACACACACACACACACACACACACACAGACAACCCCTCGACAACGTTTTTGCATTGCATAGCTGCAAAAAAACGCACAGAAAACAAAATACATCCAAGAATCTGCGTAGAATTCCTGAGATTTTGGGAAAAAAGAAACTGGAGAGTTCGACACACCCATTTGCAAAAAGGTGCTTGATAACTAATTTTCCGAGCAAAACCCGGGGATGTGCATAGTATTCACGTGCGAGCATTTTAAAGTTTTTGCGGAAAGTTGACCACTGAACAGCGAAGTCATTTTCAGTGAACGACCGTTCAGCAGAAATTGTTCATGCTCCTATATGCAAAATATACGATGATTTGCGCCAACGAGCACACAAGCTAAATGTAAAGCAACAACTACTCATACAGTTGAAAACCTGACTGCTTCAAATTTTTTTCGTAAGCTTGCTGTCAAAAAGCCACAGCCTCCAAATTCGTCTTGTTATGCAACTAACTAATTAACCCAAGGTTTCGAATCGGTTTCTGTGCAAATATTATAGATTGTTCAATCGATAATTCCTTCAGAAGACGAAACGAATATTAGAAACGCAGCTGGCTGGCCACCAGCCGATGTCGATTACGAAGGGGCTATGAACTACATTCGATCGAAGTATAAAAGACTAGATAGATTAGTGATATGAGATTGACTGATAAAGCGAATGTACCATCGTTTGAAGGCTGTCGCTGCTGCTACGCTGAGAAATGTAAATTCCAAATAGCATTTTCTAAGCACAGGAACTACCTTCATTTTACTCAGTGCAGAGTAATTCGAGTCTCTTTTTTGATTGTTTTCTGCTGGCTGATTTATTTCGATCTTTTTGTACTGGCTGCAACAGCGAAGCAACAGGAAGGAAGTCTGCTCTACCGTATCCAAAGCAATCAGAGCCCCGTGCTACTTGAATTGCTTTGAAAAAATAAAACTGCCATAGAAGGAGCGCTATGGTTGCGGCGCAAAACCAATACGACGACCATGGCCCATTGATAGCTCTGTTGCGGGCTGCTTTAAGCCCAAGACTCATTTGGAAGGCAAACAAACTGGGCTCGACAGATGGCTTTTTGATGGATTTGCTGCGCATTTTCAAACGCTTCTCAGGAATTAATCCTGCCGTTCCCCTCCGTCACCTCCTGTCTCCCTCTTTCCGCCCCCGTCTTCCTTCCGGCTCCCAATAAACGACTCCCTGTTTGCTTGAAGGCATTTCTCAAGCGAACATTTTTTGCATACTTTGCAAAAGAAATGAGAAGGATGGGCAATTCAGGATGTGCTGCTGCTCTGCTTACTCTTGGTACAATTGTTAGAGCATTTTTCATAATAATAACAACTGACTAATCTTTTCATCAGTCCGTTGCTTTCGAGCATCGATGGTTTGGCGAGAAAAATGTGCTGCTACAGGGGTTTCACACTGTTTTAATAGAGCACTATAAATTTTGAATTCTAGAAATTGTGGAGAGCTTATCGAAGAATGCTGAAAATTCTGCACGAAGGGAAGAAGTTGTCCGATCAGCTGTAGCTATTCTTGAACCGACACCTGTTCGCTATCACATATCCTTTAGAAATCTGATGTTCGTGCGTTATTATTACGTACTGTTGTAGGATACTGACCACAACAACCTGCATCTTTGGTTTCGGCTTTACTGCCCGAGACACCAATGCTTGGGGCGTCAGTGGACTCAGCGTGCGCCAATATTCAACAATTTTACATATTAATCTGTTTGTTTGTTCGTCTGTTTCTCTGGCAACAACGATTTCCCGCAACAAGCGATCCTGCCCCCGTTTCACCAAAGCACTCGTACTGATATCAGAGCCATCCCGATCGATGCTCATCCTTACGTTTCCCCGAATGTCCGCTGGGCTCGGCTCGTCGGAATTGTCGATTTCCTCTATTGCAAATGTTCTGCCGTTGTTTTGCGTTTTCACTGCCCTTCAAGCTGCAGCAACGTATCGCTTCCGAAGTTCCTCAGACGCTCTCCCTCATTTTCTGGATTCCTTTCTCCCTCCTACCCATGCTTCGCACTCCGCCCTCAACCCTATAACAACGACATTCCTCGCCTTCGTTCCGTTCTGTTAGTATTCTAACACTCCTCTAATCATCATTCAGCATGCTGCCTGCGGTGCTGCTGCCACCGCCAGCCTCCTCGTAACTCAGTTTTCATCCTTGGCTGAATTTATTTCTCCGATTCCAGTTCTATTGACATCATCAAGATCTCTTGACGACAGAGATCCATTACAAAAGTCTTTTTCACGCTTCACTACTTGATACACAGAGCAGTTACCATTTCGCAGTTGCATCCTCCTCGCCATCAGCATACTCGCAACGTTCCACTCTGCTCGGCGCATCCACATTTACCCCATCCATAGAACATCTGCGCAGTCAGGTATTCTTCCGACCCATCAACAGTCTTACCGGAGTTCACTCTTAACAAGCTGCTACCATAAAATAGCTCGCTTCGTACATCAAAAACGCTGCAACAGTCAGCAAAAACGCATGGTAAATCCTGTGTTGTGTGTTCGTTTGTCCCAGTATTTCTATTCGGCAACCAGGAAAAATTTGATGCTGAAATTTTGCCAGTATGTCCCCTGACTAAATTTGAACCTAAGAACGTGATACCAACTTCCACACACACCTGTACGTGAAGACTTTGGCGGAAAAATTGCTAACTCGAAAAGGAAAGGGCTGAAAAGCTGAAATTTTAAGAGGATGTTCCTTGCCCCCTGCCGGCATACAACAAAAAATTTCTATCCCAGCTCGTTGGTGCTCCTGGGTTTCAAGTTCAAACACACGAAAAAGATTTTTTGACAAAATTTATTAACTCGGGAGCCAGGAAGTTAGTAAGCTGAAACTTCAAGCGGATATTTCTTACCTGCGTGTAGCCAAAAAATCTTAAACTCAGCTCCTTAACGAAGTCTGCTGTAACAAGAAGTAAAACAATATTGTCATTCATCAAAACAGCACCCTCATTAGCTGGCCGCAAAAATGCATGATCACACTGGTAAGCCTAGTGCGTTCCGTCCTGGATTTTCTTTATGACACTGTCTCATGATCGACTGAGTTCACGATAAGTTACCTAACGTACACACCGGTAATCTCCCTTTTCATAATAGAAATTGAACGCATAAGAAAGGTGCATCGATAAGCGGGATATTGTCAATTGAAACAAACGTAATCAAAATGTTAAAAATTGACGAGTGTACAAAAAAAAAAACCGAAACTTGGACTTTAAGACCATTTGCGCAGTATTAAGATCTAAGTTCTAATCATTCGTTTCAAATTATTTGGTAAATTAATTTGTCCTGATTGCAAGCCCCAACTTTTTTTGTCAATTATAAGACTATTCGGTTAAGGGTTACTCTCTGGTAAAATTGCGGATGTTGCTGTTTTGCAAGACGTTTTTACAAAAAGCATCTAAAGCGTTTTTGGCTTCCCGCACAAACGACTGATGTTTGAAAAATTACAGAGGTTTTTCAACTTTGTCTTATTTTCAGCCATTTCTGGTGACTAAAATTAATGGTCTTTTTATGAAAATGCTTTTCTTCTTCGCTTTTCCAGTTAGCTTGCTAATAGTGGAAGTGAATCGTGTGCGCATTTAAAAGGGCTATTGATTGTCAGCAACGCCATATTTTTTCAAAAAACAAAGAAAAAATTTCGTTTTTACGATACAAAGTGCATTCAGTGCTTCTTACGAATGCACCTCAAATTTTTACCATCAAAATGCTTGCTTTTTGTAACATGCACAGCATTTTTCGTACCTGTGGGATCTCACTATTTTTTGTGTAATTCAGAGTGCACAAGGTGCAAAAGCACTGTCACAGAATGGTGACTCTTTTACTCGCTGCAAGCGCCTGCTGTCGGGACAAGCAGTACCAGCCGGCTTTGCTGATCGGAAATGCAATTTGTGGTTATTATTAATCTATCAAATGCACTAGGCGGTCTAGCACCAAAACCAATGATGAGCGATATGTTTTTTCGACATTCTCCGACAGTCTTCCCCCCAGACATTCGACATTCTTCCGATATTCTTCTGCAAATCCTCTTACATCTACAATTCCGTTAATTATCCACAGCTTGGATGACTTACGGAATTGTAGATGTAGGAGGATTTGGCCTTGTTTTTCAGCACACTCTAACTGCAGCATCCTCTCCGCTAACGCTTCACCTCAAATTCCTCAACAGTATAATGGAATTCGACATTTTTAGAATTCGACAATTTTGAAAAATTCACGCATATCCAATGCCTGCACTGTTCAACCAAAAAATATTGCATCGGTGCAGCTTGTGTTTCCTTTTCTTACTGTAACCTATCCTCGGTTACAGTTTCCGTATTATTAACAATTAGGCAAATTTTGAGCTTTCCAAATTATTTGTAATTGTGGATCTGCCCCTTTGAATGGAACAGTTAAAAAGTCCGCAGTCTATGGCACTTTCCTTGTCTGATCCTCAGGTTATCCATAAGCTCGCTGTCCCCTTGTTTTATAAATTACATATAGATCTCTCGTCTATTAAATTCGCGCTCATTTTGCGTATATAAGTGATACATTTTTGTGCGGTAAGTTTAGTTTTTTCATCTGTGTAATGCAAAAAACGCATATTATCGAGTTATATGTTACGGTAACTTTTATCCAATTATTTGAAACATACTGAAGCTATAACGCTGAAACTTTGACAACTTAGCCACCACTTACGTGTGAGCGCCTAAGCGTAAAATGAATAATGATTTTCTGCTGGTTCTCACATATGAACGTGTGGAATATTTTTTGGCGAGAAAGCGATTTCGGGAACTAAGCAAGCTAGAAGGCTTAGAATTTACAACGTGCAACTTCCAGTAACACTTGACACCAGTCCCTTCCTCGTTGCTGGCCAAATTTCGTCGTCAGAATCGTTGTGCGGTCGATTTGAGCCACTGCAAAAGTTGCATTCGAAAAACGCCTAAGGAACGGATACAGCATTACTAGTAAATGAGCATGTTCATGGGTGTGATCACAAAACTCTGCTAATGCTCGCAGTTTGGGGGCGTTCTTTGCTTGCTTCATTTCGTTTATTTCGACCTTCTGGCCTGCGCTCGATGCGTTGCTGTTCGGATGGCGGATTGATGGATTGCCACCAGGCATTCAGTGCGGTGTTTCGACGTCCTTCCATGCTCATTGCCCCTGCTCACTCTCTTTTGTGTTCAGATTTCACTGTGTAAAACAATATCGATGTTCGAAGGAAGCCCAGTGGTTGCAGCAGGGCATTTCCTCCCTGCTACCTTACGCTGACTGGGTGAGGGGAACGTGCACAAGTTCCCTTTGAATGGTTGAAGGGGAGGGAAGGAGGAGTAAGGTAAGACGGAGAACACTGAAAACACAAAAAAAGTGAAATTTAAAAACGGGAACTTTGCCCAACATCCTTGATTGACTCATCCATGTTTTTTTTTTTGCTTTTCAAAATTTAAAGGATTCGCACTGACAGGGGAAAGAGCTTGCTGTGCATTGTGGGAGTAACGCGCATATCACTGTCGTCCTCGTTGCCTGTAAATAGTAAGTCAGTTGGGGAGACTTCTGAATTGGCTTTGTAAAAATTCTGAAAAGGACTGCGTGAGTTTGTATAGTAATCAACATATTATCAAGTTGAAGAAATTCAAAGTAACAATCAGATCATACGTATCATGTAAAAATCAGATATTTTAATACCACGTTTCCTCTCGCCGTTAATGTGACTGGCAAGTTTTTCATTTTTGTGTATTTTGAGATTTTCTCATCCAGTTGGTTCTGTACAGAAAATGTTTTCGTTTTTCCTGCAGCACTGGTAACCTCCTCTACATTCTTTCACCGCTGTGTAGGTGCCAGTCGGTAATCCGATTCGCCCATCTGTTGTCTCTCATCCTTGCTACACAACCCCTGGGTACTGTACAGAAAATAGTAAACAATGGAGGAATGTTCTTTACCAATTTGAGAAATTTCATTTTTGTGCAGTTTCGAAGAATTTTTATGAATAAAAACTTGAAAGGTCATTGCAGTGACTGCCGGAAGTGATGAAATCAATCATAATACCTAAAAACTGCCTTGTCGGATTGATATAATAATAATGGTGATAACAATAATAGACAACGATATCGTCATACGAAATGAGTGGTCGTAAAAATGCAGTGACCCAACTACGCATTATTCACAAAATGAGTAGTCGTAAAAATGCGATGACCCATCTTTGTTTATTTTATTACTCTTTCACCCTCCATTCCTATTTCTGTCTTCATTTTTGTTCGTATTTTCGGAATGTTGACTCCAGACAGTGTTTGACTGCTTTTTTTGAGCAGACATTTTGTCATAATTTAACGTCTGTTTGACTGTCCAGTCTGATCACAGTAAGCCGATTATGCGCTGCTCAGTTGATGGTTTGGCTTCTACGGAGATGCGCCAGTCCCAACATCATTTTCGTATGCACGGCATCTTTGTTACATTAATGGACGGGAAGGAAGAAAAGTAGACTGCACAGAAAGAGTTAGATTCTCCCAGATACACACATTAGCGAGGTCACCAGAACTTCCTCAAAAATCCACATGTGGATGTGGTGTAAGGGCCACGACTAAAACACATGCAGACCTCAAGCCCAGCTATATCAGGGACTTCGCTTCTGATCTTCGTAACTCCAAAAAGTTTTCATTGTCTCCTCGATGCGTGTGCCCGATTTATCCTAAAGCCGCATAGTGGTCGTTTGCTTCCTTACGGGTACACATACTGATACTTGTAATGAGTTGTTGTCAGTAAGATGCAAAGCATTTCTTACACGTCAAATTTTAATTCGCCGTGTATTACATCCTACACTTTGCACACGAAGCAGGGAGACTGATTACTTATACGACCACAGGAGGAGGGGAGACACTTCAAATATCTTGCTCAAGTCCCATTTCCATTACGGCCAGTGTCCCTCTTCTTTTGTCATTGACCAGCTTTCGCATCCGTGTGTCGCTGTTTTCAGGACATCGTGCTACTTCGCATCTGTAAAATGATATTCCTATCCAGTTTTTACGATGCAAAGCATTTTTTTTACAGACTGAAATTGACGTTTTGGGGGAGTGAGTGAGTTTTCTCCTGCCTGCCTTCTAGAAGCAGCGAGTGGGTAAACAAACGGTGTAAGTTAACTTTTTTATGTTTTCCTCATTCTTCTTGCCCATATTTTTGATTGTTTTTAGTGAATGGTTCAGCAGTCAACGGCTGGCAAAAGGACGGGTTTCTCGTTAGCTCATTACTTCATAACTCTGTTTGCATTCACGCTCCCAGTCCCATCGTCGCTGCTAATGCTTCTTTTCCACTTCACACTCCATCATTCCAGCTGTCAGAATATAATACACTATGCACCTTTTTATAAAAAAAAAGACGAAG